GAGATGTTGATAAATACATTGGCCCATTCCAAACCTCATCATGCTGCACGAGAACCCAGGAGCAGAACTTTGTGGTCCCTTGTTTGTTCCAGAGGAGGCATTTGCTCCTGACTTTGGAGCAGCAGTCAGACTTGGAAGGGAAGAACTGTGTGATTATCTTTCTCCACTGGGCCATCTGCCTGTGTCAAGGGTGTTCCTGAGTGCTCTTGTGTGTATACAAAGCAAGCATTTTCTGCAGTACCATTAGTCTCCTGAACACCTGTCCTGGGCAATGCCAGAGGACAAGGGAAGATCCAAGGGAGCAGCTCTCAGCCCCATAGGTCTCTGTAGTGTGCTGGTGTGTCACTTGCAGTTTTAGCATCATCCCAGCTGGTGGTCTTTCTTAAAGGCTCAAATTTGCCACTGGAGGTAATTAAAAATTCATATCTCAGCTGATGGCAATGATGGGGAAGTTCTCCGCTATGGCTGAGGAAATTCCTGAAAAAAATAATTTACAGAATCTCAGGCTGGGGGAGGCTGGAGGCACCTCTGGAGGTCACCTGGCCCACCCCCTGCTCCACCAGAGCCACTCAGAGCCAGCTGCCCAGGATGTGTCCATGTGGCATTTGAGTCTCTCCAGCCATGGAGACTCCACCACCTCCCTGGGCACCTGCCCCAGTGCTCAGCCACCCTCCCAGTGCAGAAGTGTCTCCTGAGCTTAGAGGGCCCCTCCTGTGTGTGTCACTTTGTGCCCGTGGCCCCTGGGGCTGTCCCTGGCCCCGTCCCCTCTGCAGCCTCCCCCTGGGTATTTATCCCCAGGGATGAGATGCCCTGAGCCTGCTCTGCTCCAGGCTGGGCAGTCCCAGCTCTCTCAGCCTCTCCTCACGGCAGAGATGCTCCAGTCCCTCCATCACCTTCCCGGCCCTGTGCTGCACTCTGTCCAGTCTGTCCCTGTCTCCTGTACTGGGCAGCCCAGCTCTGGGCCCAGCACTTCAGGGCTGGCCTCACTGGTGTGGGGCAGAGGGGAAGGATCCCCTCCCTCCCCCGGCTGTGACACAGCTCCCAGTGCAGCCCAGGACTGTTCTGCATTGCTGCAGGAGCACATTGCAGGCCCATGGGTATCCTGGTGTCCAGCAAGACCTTTCCTCCCAGCTGGGTGGCCCCCAGCATGTACCAGTGCAGATTTCAGGAATATTTAAAATTCTGAGTAGCCACAAAGTGAATACCTGTTAATATTGCTTGAATTAGACTACTTTCAGCCAATATTTTGATGAACAGAAGCACTTCTTCTGAGCAGATAATGCATTATAAAGCACTGTTGGGGGTGTGCATGGCTCCATGCTGGGAGCTGCTTCTCTCCATGCTTCTGTGTGGCACACAGCACATCCCTCTCTTCCCAAGGAGCAGATCACTTGCTGGCTCTGCCATGGTTTGGTGTGAAGCTGTGGAGAGCTGGAGGCTCATGTGTCCAGCAGCCCTAGAGATGGTCTGCAAGCCCCAGGGTCACTGGTCTGGAACGTGGCTGTGCCAACACCCAGTGATCCCTGCTGGATGAGCAAAAGCTCTGGGAGCAGCTGAGCCAGTGATCCTGGTTGCCTTAAAGTGTGCGTTTTGTGGCCAGTGTCCCTGGCCCATGTGACTGTGTGCACACTGGTGTCCCCAGTTCTCTCAGATGCTCAGGGTGCTCAGGCTGTGCTCTGTGCCCCCTTCTCTGTGGTGGTGCTTTGTTTCCTGAGCTGGGAGGTTTGTCTCTGACAGAGAGCACAGTTCAGAGACACTGATCCTGCTGTCAGAACTGGCTGGGATAGGCTGGTGGGGTCAGGCTGCACACAGACTCCATGTGCACAGCCCTACCCTTCCACAGAGCACAGCATTCCAGGGCAGAGCAGGAGGAAACAGAGCATTCCCAGATGAGAATGGTCTTGAAAAATTCCACCTTCCAGCCTGTACATTGTGGTGTTCTCTGGAGGGATCATATGTATGTGGTGTGGCCAGAGTTTCTTGGGGTGGCTTTCCTCCTTCCTGGCTTTTCCAACCAGGGATCCTTGGCTGTCCCTCAGCAGAAGGCAGAAGTGAGGAATGGATCTGAGGAGTCCTTGTGGAATGGATAGGCAGCTGGCTGAGGAGTGGGGCTCGCCTGTACCCTCTGTAAGATGTTACACCCAATACCAAGAAAAATGGAGAAGGCCAAAACAGCTGCAGCTCCACTGTTGCTTTTTTAAAAGCTGGCTGGGGGTGGGGTTGTGGGGTTGAAGGCTGCTGAACAGCCTGATTCTGGTTTGTCTGGGTGGGTAGAGTTTTATCAGATGTCACTGGGACATGTGCATGCTAAAAGCTTTTTAAGACAACAGCTAAAAAAAAAATAAACATAACCCAAACTTTTGTTCAATATCCAGGGCAATCAGCAGAACAAATCATAGAATATCCTGAGCATAAGGATGCTGGTCCAACTCCTGGCCCTGCACAGACACCCCAGCAATCCCACCCCATGCCTGAGAGCATTGTCCAAATGCTCCTGGAGCTCTTGCCATCCTGGGGAGTCTGTTCAATGCCTGACCATCCTCTGGGGTTAAAACCTTTTCCTAATATCCAAGGAAAACTGTGAGTTTGGTTTGCTAATTGTGCTAATTTTCAGGTTTGCATCCTAGTAGGCTGGGTAAAGACCAGGCTGGGTAAAGCCCTGAGCAGCCTGCTGTGATCCCAACCAGCTGGGAGCAGAAGGTTGAATTACAGACCTCCTAAGGTTCCTGAATTATCCTGTGATAATAAGGGTTGCTCTAGGGCTTGCAGGAGACCCCCTGAAGGCATCTCTGGGGCAGTGGTACCTGCCTGGGCTCTGGCTCCAGGGGCTGAGGCCACCGGAGTTGTCTGAGCAGTGGGCATCCCCTCCATGCTCAGGGAGCAGTGTTATCCCAAGTGCCTTTCTCCTGCTGTGACAATGGTGCTAGGGCAGGTCCCAGCTGTGGCTGAGCCCCTTTTCCTCATGTAGCACTCCTGACCTGAGACACTTCACAGCAGCTTGGGCTTCCAGGGTTTTTATACTGGGATTTTAAAAACTGTGAGCTGCAAACAAGATCTCCAATCCTGATTCTCAGTCCTCCCGGTGGAGATGGAGCTCTGCAGCCCAGGTATTGTGTCATGCCTACACCTGTGGGGTTATCCCAGGAATCCAGGGTGTGCTATGGTTGATGTGAGGGGTGTTGGTGGTAAATTGTTGTCTGACACTGTGGAAGCCCCTGACAAGAGGTGGGAGAGCCCTGGGAGCCGCCGAGTTTCAGCTGTGGCAAGAGTGTGCTTACAAGTTCACACCAACAGTGTTCTTGCTGCTCATGTGTGGCCTTGGAATAGTTTTGGGCTTGGAATAGAATTTGTGCTCCATGCATGCTCAAAGGGCAGGAGCTGGTACAAGGGGTTAGGGGAAGGTTTCCACCAGCAAGGCAGAAGTTGTTCTAGCCAGAGGTGCTGGAGAAAGCATTCACACTGCTGCTGAGGGACAGATGAGGGAGGCACAGTTTGTGGTAGGATGTTGGCATTGTTAGGGTTATAGACCTTAAGATCGTTGAGTCCAACAGTAGGGTCGGGCCATGGGCTGGATGGGCTCCTCTGCCTCTTGGAGGGCTCTCACCCTTCTGAGCTGGGCTGCCCCAGTGCTGGGACATGCCCGAGGCTGCTGGAGGAGAGGTTGTCTGGAGATTAAGGCCTAAATCTCAGGTGTTTAGCTTTTCCAGTTTAAAGGCCAGCACCACACTCTGAAATCCAGATTGATTATCTTCACCCTGAACTCAGGAGAACCAATGTCCACAGCCTCAGCCTAGCCTCACAAGGATTTGGAGAGTGAACCACAATCTCAGAATATGGAAGGGACACAAGGACTATCAGGTCCAACTCCCTGCTTCTGGCACCCAAAATTAAAACCTAATGTTGACTTGGCATGTCCTGTGCAAATATTTGCTTTTGTGTTCATATCAGAGACTGTGAGAAACTCAGGTGGAGCATCACAAGCCTGAGCACTGGATCTAGTTATTTATCTTCCCTTCTAGGCATTTCCAGTCCCAAGTTCTGTTTGAATTTTTAAAAAAGGCAAAAGTTCCCACAAAATCAGGAGTTGTCCTCGAAATATTTGACCCAATGTTGAATCAAGGATTGACTGGATTTAAGTGCCAAAAAAAGCAGATAGATTCTTACTGGGTGTTAGGAACCACTGAAACAGGTTGGCTGCTAAATTCATTTTGGCTTTCACTTGGAGTCTGGTGTCCAGATTAGTTTCTCAATTCTTTCAGTTGTCCTGACACTTAACAGTGCTTTTCTGCACCTGTAGAGCCTGAAAGGTCTGTGCTGTTTGCCAGTTGAGCATCAGGTGTTTCTGGTCACAAACCTGACAGAACTGTGAGAAGTAGATTCCCCTCAATGTGGTCACACCATCCCACTCTGCTCCCTCTGGTTGTAGCACCTTTATTTGAATGTCTCAGATTTTAAAATTCCAGACTTTGTCCTTTGTAGCCCAATTCTTAGCTATACCTGCTTCACCGAAATGAGTACCCTGTTTTCCACATGGATGTTTTCCCTTTCAAATTCAAATTGCATCAGAAGAGGCCAAGACATGAGCGTTGTCCTCTTTGTAGCCCTGCCTCCATCCTGGCAGCAGGTGCTTTGGAGAGGGTGCTGCTGCAATGTGGAGCCCCTGGGCCTATGGGTGGGGGGCTGGTCACAGCCAGGGAGGGCCAGTCATGCCCTCAAGGCCCTGACACTTTGCTTCCTCCTTGAGATTCATGGCTAGACAGGTTGGGCAGCACCTGTCCCGTGAAAAACTCAGGTGGGGTACAGGGGACATCAAGTTCCCCCCCACCCATACCCCCAGTAACTCTTGTCACTTGTGAAATTCTCTCTTGCAGCCATTTAGAAGATCAAGGGTGACACTCCAACAGGAGAACTGGAAGGGGACTTGCAAGGAGCTCTGCCTGCACCAGGGTGGGATTTGGCAGCCCTCAGTCACAGTCTCTCAGAGCATTGTAGGCCCCTGTGGGAGCCAGGAGCAGCTTGTGGTGGACCTGTCGAGCTTGTACCATCTTATGGTGGTGTCAGGTGAGAAAAAACCCCCGGCATTTGCAGGCTCTGAGCTGGGACCTCACAACAGGGGCTTTCATGTTCATGTTCATGTTGATGCCAGTTGTGAGCTTCATGTGGGTTCAGTGGACTTTTAATGCATCTTGTAGGAGTTTCTGCTGGGAGACACCATCCTGTGCAGTCACTTTCTCACTCCTTTGTTGTGTTTATACCAGTAGCCAACTTGATTTCTTGCCTGCTGCCCTGCAGGGCCTCGCTGTGTGCCCAGGCAAGGTGATGGACAGCATTGGGGAGATGGAGGTGGTGAGGAGCACCAAGGGCAGTGCTGCTGGGGAGGTCAGTGTCCACGTGGTCAGCACCGAGAGCACTGTGCAGAGCACCCACCTGCCCACCACTGCCTTCATCATCCCAGGTATGTGGAGCAGTCCCCTCCAGCTGCTGCCTCCCCAGCCCTGATAGCCCACACTCCGCGTGGAGCTGTGTTCCTCCCAAACCTTGCCAGGCAAAGCCAAGCTGCTCTTGCCATCTTGGAGGGTCTCTATGGCTGTCCCACATCACTTGGACTGTTTGTGGTCAATCAAATCTTCCTGAGCTTTAAATGGAAGCCCTGTTGCGAGGGGCCCTGAGCCAGGGCAGTGCAGTGTGCTGCTCTGCAGGGCTGCAGGCTCCTGGGCTGCTGCATTAGCATGGAATCCCAGAACAGCTCAAGCTGGAGGGGATCCATAAGGACCACTGAGTCCAAAGCCCTGCTCCTGGCAGGAGCACCTACAATTAAACCATAGGGACTGAACGTTGTCCAGATGCTCCCTGAACTTGGTGCTGTGACTGCTTCCCTGGGGAGCCTGTTCCAGACACTGAGCAGCCTCTGGGTGAGGAACCTTTTCCTCATGTCCCACCTGAACTTCCCCTGAGGCAGCTTTGTTCCATCTCCTCGGGTCCTGTCGCTGGTCCCAGAAAGGGGAGATCAGCACCTGCCCCCCCAGGAGGAAGGTGCAGAAGCAATGGGGTCACCCCTCAGCCTTCTGCTCCCAGCTGAACGGGCCGAGTGGCCTCAGCTGCTCCTCCCAAGTGCTGCCCTCGGGACCTTTCATCATCCTGGTTCCCTGCTCTGGACACAACTCCAGCCCTCAGATGTCCTCTGTGTGCTGAGGGGCCCAAACTGTCCCCAGGACTGGAGGTGAGGCTACCCCAGTGCAGAGCAGAGCAGGACAGTCACCCCCTTGATGTCCCGTGAGGCAGGGCTGGCCCATGGGGCTGCCAGGGCACTGCTGGCTCCTGTTGCACTTGCCCTCAGCCCAAAGCCCCTGAGCCCCTTCCCCAGGATAACTCTCCAATGTTGTTACCCAAGTAATATATTTTTTCAGGATTATCCCATCCCAGGTGCAGAAACCAGGTCTTGCTCTTGGTTCATGCACATGGTGATTGGATTGCCCAGCTCTCTGGTCTACCTAGATGTTTGTGTAGGGCCTCTCTACCCTCAAGGTTGTCCACAGCTACTCCTGATGTAATGTCAGGATAAACTTACTTAATGGGCATTAAATTCCTGCGTCCAGATCATTTACAAAAACTTTAGGAGCCCTGGCAACCCCACTGGTGATGGCCCCCAGCCTGATGTGCCCCCAGTTCCTGTAAGGCTTTGAGCCCAAGTGTAGGAGACCCATCATCCAGTTCGCCTGATGGACAATGGACTGGATGTGCTCTGCACTGGACACTTTGTCCAGAAGGATACTGTGATACTGTGAGAGGCAGTATCAAAGCTTTGCTAAAATCTCAAAAACCCACATCATTTGGCTGTTCTTGGTCAGCTTAGTGGGGTGATCTTTCCATAAAGGGAAATTCAGTTGGTTAACCAGGACTTCCCCTCATGAACCTCTGTTGCAGTGACTGACAACTGCATTGTCTCTCCATTGTTTTTCAGTAACTCCCAGAATAACCTTCTCCATCATTTTACCAAGCACTGTAGTGAGACTGACAGGCCTGTAATTATCAGGGTCATCCTTCTTATCCTTCTTGAAAATTGAGAAACATTTTGAATGTAGCTGACCGATGTCTTTCAGGAGCTGTTTGAGCAAAGCATGGCTGTGTGTTAGGTGAAGTCAGGGGTATTCTCTAGAAGCAGATCTCCCAGTTTTTCCTGGTGCCTCAGTTCTCACTGCAGAGAGACCCTAGGTTGCACAGTGTGTTCCTTTGAAACGTAACTAAACTGGAAGTTGCAGTTCAGGAGCAAACTCCTGTCACATCAGGGCACCCTGGGCACAGAAAGAGTCTGAGATCAGGCTGAATGTGGATAGTGTTGGTGCCACCCCCCAGAATGAGCCATTACTGGCTGCAGATTTTTTGTGTCACTCTCCTTGCTTTGTGCTTTGGCCCACAGCAGAGCCCTCACCTGGGAGACCATGTCCTCTGGGATCCTGGGCTGCCTTTGAGCCTTGTTTTCATCAGTGAAGTGTTCTGTGTATGCCTCTGGTTGTTTGTCTCCTTTCTTCCGTTCTCAAGCAAACGCCACTGCCATCAACCTTCCCACGAGCACCTTAGAAATCCAGCGATTCCCCCGGGAGCCCCAGAGAAGTACAGGGGCCGAGAGGCCAGACAGGGGAGCAGGGAATGAGCCCATCACAGCTGCTGTCATTCCCCAGATCAGCGGGGTGCAGACCTGCAGCACGGTCCGTGTGCTGGAGTGGAAAGATGGGGTGGCAACTTTGCCTGGGAGTAACCTGCGGGTAAGTGTAGCCCTGGGCCACTGGGTTTGACCCCTCAGCCTCTCCCCACAGCTGCTTGTGCTTGTAAATCCCCCAGCCTGTGCCAGGCAGGGAGCACCAGGATGTGCCGTGGCCTCCCTGCACCCCAGCTGGAGGATTCCTCAGCTGCTCCAGCTCTCCTCCTGCCCCGTCCCTATGGCCCTGCCATCCTGGGAGTTCAGCATAGAGCTCAGAGGTGCCTGGGGGGCTGCAGCAGCTCTGCCCTGCACAAGGAGGCACAGGGGTGCTACGTGCTGTGCAGGACATCATCCCTTCCAAACTGTGCCAAGGACTTGGCTCTGCCCAAGCTGCTGCCTTCACCCCAGGAGCAGCGGCCGCGTGCTTGTCTGGCAGCAGTGCCTCAGGGCACTGCTCAGTGAATGCCCTCAGTGCATGACAGCTTGCAGAAAATGCACCCATTTCTCAGCCTCAGGACACCTCATCCTCCAGCCACCCACCTGCCAGCTCCAGCTGGTCCTGGCATCACTTGAGTGCCCAGCAGAGGCTGCAGGCAGGCCACCTTCATAGGGCCTGTGGTGCTGTGCTCACCTCTGTCCTCAGAAGAGTTGTGCTCTTGTCAGACACACTGATGACCAAACCGTGTCCCTCATTTTCAGACCAACCACCCAGTTACACGTCTGTCCTCCTTAACTCTTTTTCCTCGCTTGTTGTCCAATGACACAGTTCCGGATTAATGAGTACGGGACGCTAAAGGTGGTGAGTGCTGATAAGATGCCTCCTGTGGAAGCTGTAAAGGAGGGTCACACAGAGAAAGATGAGGACTCCGACGTGGCACCCTCCAGCAGAGACAATCCTACTGTGGCTCAGGGTAAGGGCACTTGTGGAGTGGATAGCACCATCCAGCAGATGCTGTCTGGTGTCTCCGTGGGTGAGGCAGATGTCTGCTGTGTGTGCTGCCCTTCCTTGTGCCTCACTGATGCTCCTCTGTGTCCCAGACGTGGCGGAGCAGCCCACGCTGCCGGCAGCAGAAGGGCTGTGCCACTGCGACACCTGCGGCCGCAGACACGTGTGGGACGGGGCCCGGGAAGGCAGGGGCTTCTGCAGCGAGCACTGCCACCAGCAGTTCAAGGAGAGGTAAAGGAAGGGGGGTCTGTGCCCTGCAGAGCCGGGTCCATTTCTCTGCCCTCCCTCCCTGCCCTGCTCCACACGCTCCAGCCAGGGATGGGAGCGCATTGCCTCTGGCAGGTGCTGGGGGTCCTGCCTGTTCTGCTCGTTCCTGAAGGCAGGCTGGGGGGGAGGAAAACTTCCCCAGGAAGCAGCAGGAAGCACGGGAGCCAGATTTTCTCCTGCCCAATTTGTGGCCTAGATATGATCTGTAAACATGTATCTGCTGGAGCAGGAGGTTGCTGCACTGGGGGCTTCCAGGCTGAGCAGCAGTGGAAGGCCACAAGTCACGGGGGCATTTCCAGCCCTACTCCTGACCGGTGTCTGACTCTCAGGATTTGTTTTCCAGCATCTCTGGTGCAGCTTAGAGCCCTGCTACTAAAGTAGATCCCTTTTGATCCATCCCTGGGTTCAGGTTTCTGACACCCAAGTGTGTGAGGGTGACTCTGGCCTGTCCCTGGCTCTAAATCTTGGCAACTTGTGTGCATACATCCATCAGGAGGGGTGGGGCCATGTGTGAGTAAGAAATGGGGAGACAGTGATTGTCCAGCAGTCTCTCCCTTGCTGACACCCCAGGCAGTGTCCCTGTGCTGCACTGGCTGCAGTGCTTGGCCCTCCCTCCCTGTGTGCAGGTCTGTCATAGTGGAAAATTCTGCCAGCAGCACCAATGCCACTGAAATCCTCAAGCCTGTGAAGAAACGAAAGAGGAAGGACTATCAGAGCCCCTCGGAGGAAGAATATGAATCTGAGCAAATGGTAGGACAAGGACAGGGAGGGGGTGTGTGCAGCCAATGTCCCAGGGGCTGGGGGCCAACCCTGTGTGCATAGATCTCATCGTGCTGCTCAGGGCTCTGTCAGCTGCAGGTCAAAAGGGAAACGGGTTGGCCAAGATGCCAAAAAGACTTGAGTGTGTGGAAATGAGGGCTCCTAGCACTGGGCTGGTTGTTTGGCATGTGGAGCACTGAGGCCTGGGCAGTGCCACACTGTCCAGCCTGGGCTGTAAGTAGTGAGCACTCTCAGCTGCTCTCTTGAGTCTGGGCCACCAAATGAAGTAGGGGAGCGTCTGTCTGTGTGCTGAGTGTCCTGGGACAGGGAGAGACTTTGACAAGGCAAGGAAGCTCTGCTTGCTAGCCCTGACTATAGCAGGTCCAGTCCAGATGTGATTGCTACCAGTCAGCACTGAAATCCCTGCAAACTCCCATCATCAGATTCCCTGGCAGCCCATTTCTGGGCCAGGCATTGGTCAGACCATGGACCTCATCGAGGTGCACTATGGCCTGGGCACCAGTGTGAGGGTACAACACACAGCCAAAAACCTCTGTGTGGACCTGGATTCTGTTTTGTCTGCTCTCATGTGTAGGAGGAAAAGCAGGAAGAGAGGAAAAGCTCTGTGGAAGACTCTGCCATGAGCAATCTGGAGGCTGAGGCGTGGAATGGGAGCCAGCACGGTACGGAGGGTGGAGTGGGCAGTGGGGTGAGCACTCCTCCTGGGGCTGGGGGGTCCCACTGCAGGGTTGGACCCTTTTGGTGCTCCTACAGGGTCAAACACACACTGCAATGTGCTGGCACGTGGTCCTGAAGGCTTGTGAGCTTCTCTACTTGCTTGATCCTGCTCTCTCTGTCTCTTTCCATTTCTCTCCTTTCCTCTCTTTCTCTCCATGGGAAGGGGGCAACCCTACAGACACCGCACTGGCCTGTGCTAGACAGAGCTTCCTCTCCCTCCCCTTGGGAGCTCAGTTTGTTGCTGGCTTGTGGACACTGTTTGGTCCAAAGGGACACTGTCCTGAGCAAGAACAGGACTGCACCTCGTGTGGCTGTGCCCTCCCTTGGGATGGGCTCATGGGGAACTTCCCTCGTGGCATCAGGAGCTCACAAGTTTGGGGGCTGCTTATGCAGGTGCAGTAACACTGAAGCTGTGTGATTTGGGATTGTCTCATCCTGTGGGGATCTGTTCTAGGACTGCATCAGAGATCTCAAAAGCAGAGCTGTCGACATGCAGGGAAAGGATACAAGCTGAGGGATGCAGTGTTTGCTTGGTTGGTTTTTTCCCTGCAGTGTCAAGGAAAACTTTGGGAAACACTGAAAATAAGCATGTATGGGAAACCTTTTGTCTTTGAATACTGAAGGTTATACTGAAAATAATTTTAAAATTAAACTGTATCAACTGCAAACTCTTCTCCATAGCCAAGTGCAGGGACAGTGGCAGGGTTCAGGTGTCATTAATCCCTGATGTTACACTGAGTTAACCACTGTTAAAAAGGAATCTCAGATCTCATACCTGCTTCTCACTGAGCCCTGAGCATGTAACCTTCCCTACTGCATACAAGTAAGCAGTGATGAGCTTTGTTACTTCAGCGTTTTATTTTCTCTTATTTTAGAAGTACTTCAGGAAATAAAATACACACCTGGATGCCTCAATGCAGCAGTCAGTGTATGCTCTGACTTGGTGTATTTGTCATTCCTCAGAAGTGCAGAGCTTGTACTCACAGATTCCCCAGTCATGCTTGGCACTTTTTCTATGTCCCAATGAATAGGAGAAGTGTTTTTCACTCTGAATTGTCAGCAAAGCAAGGTTAGTCACCTTGCCCACTGAAGTTCAGCTTTAATTTCTTCCCTAAGTTTCTGGTTTTTTTCCATCTCCTCCTAAGCCCAAAGGAGGAAGGAGTTGGTCTGTTTTTCCTCTGAATTTATGGCCTGCCCTACCTGAGGCTGTCTGCCATGGCTGGCCTGTAGTTGGGAATTTCTAGCACTGGAATATGCACAGCACCCCTGCAGTCCCTTCAGCTGCTGCAAATTCGGGAGACAAAGAAGCTGGAGAGCAAGAGACTTGGGTTGTGTCTCAAAAGTCTTGGGCAAGGCCATTATGGCCTTCTAAAAGGCATAAAGGGTCACCTCCCTGTCTATGAAGACACAGTGCTGTCTTCTTTGCCATATGGGTAAATACATCTCTAGGGCATCAGGGTGACCTTGCTGTGCCACTGGGGCTCAGGTGGCTGTCTCAGAGCAGAGGATGGCAGAGCTGGGATGTGAATCTGCTGCTGCTTTGACTGTCTAGGAGCCCCTTGAAGCTGGCAATGATTCCCAGACCAGTGCAGGGATCCTGCTGGCTGCCCCAAATCCATCCTGTGAGGCCATAGCAGATGTTCAGGCTGGAGGAGGGTCTGGTTGGACAGGGGCCCTGATGGCTCGTCCCTCACACTCCCTTGGAGTCCCAGACTGGTTGGAAGGGACCTTAAAGCCAATCTGGTTCCACCCCCTGTCATGGGCAGGGACACCTTCCAGGTGCCTGACTAGGACATGGTTCAGGACATTTGGGTCATGGGGGCTCCTGGCTCTGCCCCTCGTTGTGCAGCTGGCCACGTTTGCTGGAGAAGGGGCTCTGGTAGGATGGTGCTGAGCTTTACAGGGATGCAGGACCCTGTGTGAGAGCAGGACAGCCCCGAGGCAGCGGGGCAGGGCTGGAGAGGCCCCTCAGCAGCGTTTGTGTGCGTTTGTGCTGCGCTCAGGTGCCAGTGAGGAGAAGAAAGAAGGCTGGTCTTGGGCGTCCTACTTGGAGGAGCAGAAAGCTGTCGCTGCCCCTTTAGATCTCTTCCAGGATGTGAGTTGGGATTTTCCTGTCTTTTTCCCTCTTTAATCTCTCTTTTCTTTCCCTTTTTTTTCCCACCCCTCCTCCTTCTCCTCTCTTCCTTTCCTCCCTGTTTTGTGGGACTCTGAGCAATAGCCAAACTCCTGTCATCAGCTGGAAGTGACTGGGCAGCCTCCAGTTTTGATTTGCCCGGAGTCCCATTCCCCAGCAGGGTGCTGGCCCCCATCCCAAACACCCCACCTTTGCCTAGGACACTGCTGTGACTCTGGCACAGTGGTGGAGCCTTTCCAGCCCTTGCTGGAAGCCAGGTGCGCTCTCCTGGGGCTGTGCTGCAAACAAGTCAGGCCTGTGCCCTGCTCCCCCAGCTGCAGCTTTTACCCCAGGGACACCTTGCCCTGCCAAGAGAAGAAATGTAAATCCATAAGGAGGTGAAACACTGTTTTTTCTCTATGGGAAAAACTTAAAATTTGGATGACAACATAACCTGTGGCCCATAGTCTCTTGGTCCCAGCAGCTCCCATTGCCTAGTGGTTGCTCTCCTGGTGGCTCTAGACCCAGCTCCCTATGTTGATTTTACATTGTAATTTAATTTTTGTTTCCAGTACCAAGTAGCTTCCCAGCACAAGAATGGCTTTAAAGTGGGGATGAAGCTGGAGGGGATTGACCCGCAGCACCCATCCATGTACTTCATCCTGACAGTGGCTGAGGTAAGGAGCCTCCAATACCTGTGTTCCTTGGTTTCTCCTGGCTCTGGGGCAGGGGAGGTGCTGCCAGCTGGCCTCTGCAGGGGACAGGGCCCGTTGCTGCAGGAGATGAGCTGCTGCTGCAGCACCTCAGGCAGACAAGCAGGGAGTTCCTGCCAGCCTGGAGGGACAGGACACAGCACTGTGCAGCTGGGTTGGTCTCTCTGTCATCCTGGCACAGCATGGGGGGGGAGGGATTGTGCTAATGGCAACAGCTTATGTCCCTAGGACAGGTCTGAGCCCTTGAGATGGAGTGTGTGGAGGCATCCCACCACTCTTCCTTGTGTCTGTGCAGATCCACTTTCCACTCAGCCACGTGGCAGCCAGACCAGCCTGGCCTCACAGAGCTCCCCAGGCAGTTAGTGTTGCATTTAGCCAAAATCTCTACATCAGTAGATTCCTGGGCTGCAGAACAGGGAGTCTTTGCACTTGCTGGAACCAGCAAGGTGCTCCACCATGGCATTTAATGCACTAGCCTGAACATCCCTTCTTTGGGCTGGCTTGTGGTGGCTTTGCACTGACCTTGTTGCATGCTGGACACTCTTTGGAACTGGTTTGTACCTTCCAGTTTGGGCACTTGCCTGTGATTGACTTTTGGCTTCCCAAAGTGACCCATGCTGAGCTGGGTGTGTGGGAGGGGAGGGGGTGTGATGCTCAGCCAGGGACAGCAGCAGATCTCCACGGCCCTTTCCTTCTCCTCCCTCCCTGCTGGCAGGTGTGTGGTTACCGGATGCGTCTCCACTTTGATGGCTACTCTGAGTGCCACGACTTCTGGCTGAATGCTGATTCCCCTGACATCCACCCTGCTGGCTGGTTTGAGGAGACAGGGCACAAACTCCAGCCCCCCAAAGGTAAGGAGTTAATTCATCTCAGGTGATGGCTCCTGCTGAAGGAGGGTAATGAAGAGTGGGCCAAATGTAGAGCTTGAGGTAGGGACAGGGTGGCCCTATGGGGCCAGGGAGGGATGCTGCTGTACTGGGGGAGTTCCACAGGACAACACTTCAGGCACCCATCTCTGCTTGCTCACATTTTGGGGCAAAGCTCTGTTGCTCTGGATCTCCCAGTGCCACCAGCTGTCCCTCAGGGCAGGACCAGAGGAGGAGCTGTACTCTGGATTTCCACTCCAGTGCTCATTTTTCCTAACACCCCTTCAAAACCACACATCAGCCCTCAGCCATGGGCTTTGGGCATTCCAGGGCTACTGTAGATCCTGTCTGCCCGCAGCAGGATATGCTGGCAGGGTGACAGTGGGTCAGGGATGGCCAGGTTCACCCTCACATCCTCCTGGCTGTGAACTCACTGCTCTCATTTCTCTTCCTGAGGGGTTGTAGGTTATAAGGAAGAAGAATTCAGCTGGACAAACTACCTGAAATTAACAAAGGCTCAGGCAGCTCCTAAGCACCTCTTCATGGTCCGAAACACTGTGAGTAGCAGCATCTCCTTCCTGCCAGAGCCTACAGGTTCAGGTGTGACTCATCCCCTTCAGCTGAGCAAAATGTTTCCATCAGCACTGAGTTTTGCTTTGTCCATCCCACTCCCCTCAAGCCCAGAGTGCTCAAGAGCCAGGAGCGTGTGGCACACTTTGCTGCTCAGGATCTGTAGCTTGGACACTCATTTGATATGCCCAGAATTGGTGTTGGTCTGATTCTGTTTCATCCAGATTAATCTCACGGACAATTAAATCTGTTACACAAGTACTGGTGAGGAGAAATAACAACTACTCTCAACAATTATTTGGCTAAAAATACATCACTTAATGTTTCTTAAGTATAATTCCTTTGTCTCTGTTTTGTGTCTTTGCTGTTTTTGTGTCTGCCTATTTTTTTTTCACATGGAAGCTTGGGTAAGGAAAGTGGGAATACAGGAGAATGAAAAAGGAAAGTGGGAACATAGAATGAAAATGCTGATCATTCCTTTGTCAGCTGCAGAGGAAACTCACCCTACTGGCAAATCAGCCTCTCCAAGTTATTTATTGTATCTAAACCCTGCTGTTCATTGCTGCAACAACCCCACCAGTGTGTGTGATGCAGTGTTTTGCACAGATTCTGGATCCAAGAAATAAAGGCAAGGAAGGGAGAAGGGCCCAATCCCAGCTCCTCCTGCCATGCCTGAGGCATTGGTAGCTGCTGACTGTGACCACAAACAAATGTTTTGGGACAAAATCGGAACTAGTGTCTTTTGGAGTTTTTTTCTCTCTTGGAATTTACTGCTTATAGAAGATCCTGAGAGTCTGAAGGTCACATTTCCTCTTTCTTTGTGTGGCCCAGCTGAATTACTTACCCCCTTCCTGTTTCCTTGCACAGCAGCTCACTGCCCATCTGGGAGCCTGAGTGATGTCAGGCCTGTCTGGAGGCCAGACAGAGTCTGGTTTTGGGAGGGTTTGGGCAGATGCCTCCTTGCAGCAGGCATAGGAAGTGGTGAGGAAGGAGCTGGGGCTACAGCTCCGAAAAAGCCCTGCCCCTCTCTCCTGCCAGCACGAGGCTTCCCCAGGCTTCAAGGTGGGCATGAAGCTCGAGGCCGTGGACCGCATGAACCCTTCCCTGATCTGTGTTGCCACAGTGACTGACGTAGTGGACAATCGCTTTCTGGTGCACTTTGACAACTGGGATGACACTTACGACTACTGGTAAGTGCACAGAGGCTCTTGGGGGGCCAGTGGTGGGGAGACACCCACAGAGGGCCCTATGTAAGAGCTTGGGTATGTTTTCTAGGTGTGATCCCAGCAGTCCATACATCCACCCAGTTGGGTGGTGTCATGAGCACGGCAAACCTCTCACACCTCCTCAAGGTGAGTCAGTGATCAGTCAGGTGCAGCCTGGGACTGCATCCCCTTGGGAACAGGCTTCCAAGGGTGGCGTGAGGGTCCTGGGGACTCAAACCTCCTGCCAAAGCTCCTGTACACATGATCAGGTGCAGCATGGTGCTTGTGTTGGGCCAAGTCTCCACTCAGAGATACGAGGAGGACTCCAGCTGTCTGTGCACACCCAACAGTTTCTGCTTCCTTGTACTGTGGGTTTCGTGGTCCATGAGGAAATAGCAGCACTTCTTAGTGTCTCTCAGGTTCCTGTGTGCCTGGCACAGACTTGGTTGGCCCTCACAGGCAGTGAGGCATTCAGGGGTACTTTCTGACTTCCTGCAGGCATGTCTCACCTTCTGCATCTTCCCTGTTCCAGATTATCCTGATCCCGACAACTTCACCTGGGAAAAGTACTTGAAAGAAACTGGAGCATCTGCTGTCCCATCTTGGGCCTTTAAAGTGGTAAGTGTCACATCATCTGCTCCACCCCACCTGTGCAGGAATTTGGGTTTTCTTCATTGTCAAGACTTTGCTTTTGTGACACGTCCAGGGATGTTCTGTATTCTCCTGCCACAGGCCTAGGCTTTGGATCTAACTCAGAGTTCAGAAGTCAGGGCTATCCTGGGCAAATAGCTCAAAATTGGGAGAAATGAGGAGTATGACTGTGCCCTCAGCTAAACAGGAGCTGAGTGGTGGGAAATAATTTAGGTTGGCATTTTTCATTTTGTTCTCAAACTGCACCACCAGCAGCCTTGTCCAGCCAAGTGTGGTTGCAATATAGATCCCCAAAATGTGTCACTTAGAGACCTTCTTCCCTGGGGCACATCTTGTTAAAGACAGCTCAAATGCAGGGAGCCTGTTCCCACTTTCTTCTGTTGCCACTGTGAGCTGGGGTGGCTTTTCCCTGGCCAGGCCAGGGCTGGGAGGTGAGCTCAAGGAGGACACAGTGCTGGGAAAGCTGCTGAGTGGGGGGGAGCCTGCAGCAGGGCCCTGCTCCCCCTGACTGGTCTCTTCCAGCGCCCGCCCCATGGCTTCCTGGTCAACATGAAGCTGGAGGCAGTGGACAGGAGGACTCCTTCCTTCATCCGAGTGGCCAGTGTGGAGGATGTGGAAGATCACAGGATAAAGGTGGGTGCTTGAGCATCAGTGCTGAGCCTGTGTCCAGACACTGTGCTGGCTTGCTCTTGCCCTTCCCAGCTCACTGGGAGTGTGCAAATGTGGGCAGGTGCCAGTGCCTGGCTCCAGGAGTGGAGAGCCTTGTGCTGCACTTCAGCTCTACCCTGCTGCTTGCTTTCAACTCGGAGGGCTCCAAAGCTCCTCAGAGAGGTGTGCTGGCATTTGAAGGGTGACCCCTCTCTTGCTTCCCCAGGTCCATTTTGATGGCTGGAGCCACGTGTATGATTTCTGGATTGATGCAGATCATCCAGACATCCATCCCATGGGCTGGTGCTCAAAAACAGGACACCCATTGCAGCCTCCTCTCAGTAAGTGCTGCACCTGCGTCAGTTCCTTCTCACAGGGCATGACCACACCAGACACCATTGTCACTGCCACCTGCCTATGCACAGAAATGGGAGGGTAGATTCTGGCTGTGAACGGGCAGGGAGGAGAGGTCACTCCATGAATTTGTCAAGTGGAAAAGTCCTCCCTGTTTGGTGCAGGCAGGGAGCCCAGAGCCCCGGCTCTGCCTGGGCCTGTAGCTGTGACAGTCTTTCTCCTGTTCCTCTCCTCTGGCTGCAGGGCCAAAGGAACCAGCCTCCTCTGCCCATGGGGGCTGCCCAAGCCTGGGCTGCAAGAGCATCCCTCACTCCAAGAGCTCCAAGTACAGCTTTCACCACAGGTGAGCTCCCTGGCACGGCCCAGAGGGGCACAGCTTCTTCCCTGCTGGGCTGGGCCAGCTCTTCCTCTGTTCCTCTTCACCTGCCATCCCCACCAGCATCCAGTCCTTCCCTGCACTCACCCCACACCTGGCTCTGCACCCTGCTCCCCCAGGCCAGGCCCCTGGGCAGCACCAGGACCCAACTGGAGGAATCCCTGTTCACCCCTCCTATGCCTGTCCTGCAGCCCCAGAGCCCTCAAAGGTGTTCTGTGTGTCCACCTACCATGAGCAGTTGTGGAGAGGACAGTGCAGATGCTGTGCACTGACACCAGCTGTGAGCACGCTGTTCCCCCCACCCCTCTTGGATGCCTTTCCCTGTCAGGCTTTGAGCTGAAGTGCCAAGAAGGAGCAGTGTTCCTGCTCAGGCATTCGCTTGAGGGACCTTTTCCAGGGGAAACCTGGCTGGGTCTAGTGCCAACCCCAGCACCAGGCTGGTGTCAGGAGGAGCCAGTATGGTGGAGTATCCATGAGGATGTGGAGGGCAGGTCTGCCTCCCGAGGGTTTCTGTGCTGGCCACGCTCCTGGCACACACTTACTGCTCGCTCTGAGGCTGCTCTGGATGCCTGTGGGGCAAGGGAAGATGGAGACTCTGGGAGCCTCGACGAGCTGCTCCATCAGCTCACTGGTGCCTTGCCCAGGGTTGCAGGGATGGCAGAGGGCCAAGGTTTGTACGTGGAGGGACTGGCTGTGCCCTGCCCCTGCCCCAGCAGCCTGGCCTCGGGAATTTGCTCAGCACATCTTTCCTCTGCCTTCCATGGCCAGGGCTATGGCTGCCCGTGCTCGGGGACAGAAGGGTGGGTGGCCCTGCTGGCTCGT